GGTTAATTAACTTCTCTGAAAAAATGAGACAACATGACATTTTGACAACACAGCAGGATTAATGAGGAAGGCACTTATGAATTATTTTTGAATAACTGAAGGTGTCACCATGTCACCATGTCACCAGGTTAATTAACTTCTCTGAAAAAATGAGACAACATGACATTTTGACAACACAGCAGGATTAATGAGGAAGGCACTTATGAATTATTTTTGAATAACTGAAGGTGTCACCATGTCACCATGTCACCAGGTTAATTAACTTCTCTGAAAAAATGAGACAACATGACATTTTGACAACACAGCAGGATTAATGAGGAAGGCACTTATGAATTATTTTTGAATAACTGAAGGTGTCACCATGTCACCATGTCCCAAGGTTAATTAACTTCTCTGAAAAAATGAGACAACATGACATTTTGACAACACAGCAGGATTAATGAGGAAGGCACTTATGAATTATTTTTGAATAACTGAAGGTGTCACCATGTCACCATGTCACCAGGTTAATTAACTTCTCTGAAAAAATGAGACAACATGACATTTTGACAACACAGCAGGATTAATGAGGAAGGCACTTATGAATTATTTTTGAATAACTGAAGGTGTCACCATGTCACCATGTCACCAGGTTAATTAACTTCTCTGAAAAAATGAGACAACATGACATTTTGACAACACAGCAGGATTAATGAGGAAGGCACTTATGAATTATTTTTGAATAACTGAAGGTGTCACCATGTCACCATGTCACCAGGTTAATTAACTTCTCTGAAAAAATGAGACAACATGACATTTTGACAACACAGCAGGATTAATGAGGAAGGCACTTATGAATTATTTTTGAATAACTGAAGGTGTCACCATGTCACCATGTCACCAGGTTAATTAACTTCTCTGAAAAAATGAGACAACATGACATTTTGACAACACAGCAGGATTAATGAGGAAGGCACTTATGAATTATTTTTGAATAACTGAAGGTGTCACCATGTCACCATGTCACCAGGTTAATTAACTTCTCTGAAAAAATGAGACAACATGACATTTTGACAACACAGCAGGATTAATGAGGAAGGCACTTATGAATTATTTTTGAATAACTGAAGGTGTCACCATGTCACCATGTCACCAGGTTAATTAACTTCTCTGAAAAAATGAGACAACATGACATTTTGACAACACAGCAGGATTAATGAGGAAGGCACTTATGAATTATTTTTGAATAACTGAAGGTGTCACCATGTCACCATGTCACCAGGTTAATTAACTTCTCTGAAAAAATGAGACAACATGACATTTTGACAACACAGCAGGATTAATGAGGAAGGCACTTATGAATTATTTTTGAATAACTGAAGGTGTCACCATGTCACCATGTCACCAGGTTAATTAACTTCTCTGAAAAAATGAGACAACATGACATTTTGACAACACAGCAGGATTAATGAGGAAGGCACTTATGAATTATTTTTGAATAACTGAAGGTGTCACCATGTCACCATGTCACCAGGTTAATTAACTTCTCTGAAAAAATGAGACAACATGACATTTTGACAACACAGCAGGATTAATGAGGAAGGCACTTATGAATTATTTTTGAATAACTGAAGGTGTCACCATGTCACCATGTCACCAGGTTAATTAACTTCTCTGAAAAAATGAGACAACATGACATTTTGACAACACAGCAGGATTAATGAGGAAGGCACTTATGAATTATTTTTGAATAACTGAAGGTGTCACCATGTCACCATGTCACCAGGTTAATTAACTTCTCTGAAAAAATGAGACAACATGACATTTTGACAACACAGCAGGATTAATGAGGAAGGCACTTATGAATTATTTTTGAATAACTGAAGGTGTCACCATGTCACCATGTCACCAGGTTAATTAACTTCTCTGAAAAAATGAGACAACATGACATTTTGACAACACAGCAGGATTAATGAGGAAGGCACTTATGAATTATTTTTGAATAACTGAAGGTGTCACCATGTCACCATGTCACCAGGTTAATTAACTTCTCTGAAAAAATGAGACAACATGACATTTTGACAACACAGCAGGATTAATGAGGAAGGCACTTATGAATTATTTTTGAATAACTGAAGGTGTCACCATGTCACCATGTCACCAGGTTAATTAACTTCTCTGAAAAAATGAGACAACATGACATTTTGACAACACAGCAGGATTAATGAGGAAGGCACTTATGAATTATTTTTGAATAACTGAAGGTGTCACCATGTCACCATGTCACCAGGTTAATTAACTTCTCTGAAAAAATGAGACAACATGACATTTTGACAACACAGCAGGATTAATGAGGAAGGCACTTATGAATTATTTTTGAATAACTGAAGGTGTCACCATGTCACCATGTCACCAGGTTAATTAACTTCTCTGAAAAAATGAGACAACATGACATTTTGACAACACAGCAGGATTAATGAGGAAGGCACTTATGAATTATTTTTGAATAACTGAAGGTGTCACCATGTCACCATGTCACCAGGTTAATTAACTTCTCTGAAAAAATGAGACAACATGACATTTTGACAACACAGCAGGATTAATGAGGAAGGCACTTATGAATTATTTTTGAATAACTGAAGGTGTCACCATGTCACCATGTCACCAGGTTAATTAACTTCTCTGAAAAAATGAGACAACATGACATTTTGACAACACAGCAGGATTAATGAGGAAGGCACTTATGAATTATTTTTGAATAACTGAAGGTGTCACCATGTCACCATGTCACCAGGTTAATTAACTTCTCTGAAAAAATGAGACAACATGACATTTTGACAACACAGCAGGATTAATGAGGAAGGCACTTATGAATTATTTTTGAATAACTGAAGGTGTCACCATGTCACCATGTCACCAGGTTAATTAACTTCTCTGAAAAAATGAGACAACATGACATTTTGACAACACAGCAGGATTAATGAGGAAGGCACTTATGAATTATTTTGAATAACTGAAGGTGTCACCATGTCACCATGTCACCAGGTTAATTAACTTCTCTGAAAAAATGAGACAACATGACATTTTGACAACACAGCAGGATTAATGAGGAAGGCACTTATGAATTATTTTTGAATAACTGAAGGTGTCACCATGTCACCATGTCACCAGGTTAATTAACTTCTCTGAAAAAATGAGACAACATGACATTTTGACAACACAGCAGGATTAATGAGGAAGGCACTTATGAATTATTTTTGAATAACTGAAGGTGTCACCATGTCACCATGTCACCAGGTTAATTAACTTCTCTGAAAAAATGAGACAACATGACATTTTGACAACACAGCAGGATTAATGAGGAAGGCACTTATGAATTATTTTTGAATAACTGAAGGTGTCACCATGTCACCATGTCACCAGGTTAATTAACTTCTCTGAAAAAATGAGACAACATGACATTTTGACAACACAGCAGGATTAATGAGGAAGGCACTTATGAATTATTTTTGAATAACTGAAGGTGTCACCATGTCACCATGTCACCAGGTTAATTAACTTCTCTGAAAAAATGAGACAACATGACATTTTGACAACACAGCAGGATTAATGAGGAAGGCACTTATGAATTATTTTTGAATAACTGAAGGTGTCACCATGTCACCATGTCACCAGGTTAATTAACTTCTCTGAAAAAATGAGACAACATGACATTTTGACAACACAGCAGGATTAATGAGGAAGGCACTTATGAATTATTTTTGAATAACTGAAGGTGTCACCATGTCACCATGTCACCAGGTTAATTAACTTCTCTGAAAAAATGAGACAACATGACATTTTGACAACACAGCAGGATTAATGAGGAAGGCACTTATGAATTATTTTTGAATAACTGAAGGTGTCACCATGTCACCATGTCACCAGGTTAATTAACTTCTCTGAAAAAATGAGACAACATGACATTTTGACAACACAGCAGGATTAATGAGGAAGGCACTTATGAATTATTTTTGAATAACTGAAGGTGTCACCATGTCACCATGTCACCAGGTTAATTAACTTCTCTGAAAAAATGAGACAACATGACATTTTGACAACACAGCAGGATTAATGAGGAAGGCACTTATGAATTATTTTTGAATAACTGAAGGTGTCACCATGTCACCATGTCACCAGGTTAATTAACTTCTCTGAAAAAATGAGACAACATGACATTTTGACAACACAGCAGGATTAATGAGGAAGGCACTTATGAATTATTTTTGAATAACTGAAGGTGTCACCATGTCACCATGTCACCAGGTTAATTAACTTCTCTGAAAAAATGAGACAACATGACATTTTGACAACACAGCAGGATTAATGAGGAAGGCACTTATGAATTATTTTTGAATAACTGAAGGTGTCACCATGTCACCATGTCACCAGGTTAATTAACTTCTCTGAAAAAATGAGACAACATGACATTTTGACAACACAGCAGGATTAATGAGGAAGGCACTTATGAATTATTTTTGAATAACTGAAGGTGTCACCATGTCACCATGTCACCAGGTTAATTAACTTCTCTGAAAAAATGAGACAACATGACATTTTGACAACACAGCAGGATTAATGAGGAAGGCACTTATGAATTATTTTTGAATAACTGAAGGTGTCACCATGTCACCATGTCACCAGGTTAATTAACTTCTCTGAAAAAATGAGACAACATGACATTTTGACAACACAGCAGGATTAATGAGGAAGGCACTTATGAATTATTTTTGAATAACTGAAGGTGTCACCATGTCACCATGTCACCAGGTTAATTAACTTCTCTGAAAAAATGAGACAACATGACATTTTGACAACACAGCAGGATTAATGAGGAAGGCACTTATGAATTATTTTTGAATAACTGAAGGTGTCACCATGTCACCATGTCACCAGGTTAATTAACTTCTCTGAAAAAATGAGACAACATGACATTTTGACAACACAGCAGGATTAATGCAAAAATAAATTCCATTCATACTTTATAAAGCTTCATTTACCGGTATTTCATCGTCAGTAAATAAATCATCATTATCGTTTGGTTCAACCTGTTTATATAATCCTTTCATTTCTTCTTTCAAAACATAACACCGTGTTTGTTTACCATCTATTCTTCTCTGTTTCCTATCACATTTATCCTTAATGCTCATTTGAAAGTTTTTGTCTTTCATGTCTGATGGTTTGCAGAATAGAGCATTTTCACACGTCATACCTGCACACAATTCATCATAATGTGTAATTATCCATACATCTAAAGGATTTGTTGATAATTCTATTAAATCTTGTTTGGCTTCAGTCATCGGTATGATTCGTACATTAAATGATGAAAGGTCATATTGCATAAAATACGTCAGTAAATTATCATAAAATTCCTTTGTGCATGAATTCATTAAATTCTTGAAGTAATCAAATTGACCCTTGAATTTACCATTAACTCTTAAAACTACGTATCTTCTGTCTCCAACTTCAATTTTGACAGGGTAAACATTATTAGTTACGAAAATGAAATTGGCAACATTCTGAGCGGTTCTTCTGGGTTGATTCTTTTCATTAATTCTAATCTCATTATCCGTAATAATTGATTTCAAAGCGTTGAAGTTTGCGAGTCTATCTTCACCCACATTCTTGAGTTCATTAAGTACAAGAAACATTTTATTCTCAACTACTGAATTGAAATTACCCGTTAGCTCACTTATTTCAGTAATGTTTTTACATGAATAACCAGCGAGAAGTTCAGAAATAATGTCTGTAAATCTGTTTTTACCTGTTCCCTGAAGTCCTTTCAAAATAATTGCTGTTTCATTCTTGATTCCAGGATGTTGAATCATTGATGCAATCCAGCCGAGAAGGTATTTATACACTTCATCGTTATTATCACAAATGGCATCTTTAATGAAATTCATAAACATCTCAATTTTTGAGTAATCTGGTTTTTCGAGAACGTTGTATTTATAACCCTGAAACGTTGAGAAAACATCTGGAGAATCAGATTTAAAGCAAACACCCTTAACGGTTAATGAAGACAATTGATTTAATAGTACTTCCCATGCTGTTATTGTTTTACCTTCTTCTTTAAATAATTTAATCATTTTAAGTGACTCTTTCATGTTTGATTGAAGAACGAATGATATTTGATTCATTTTGTCGTGGATATTATAATCTTTCTGAATGAAATATTTATTTCCACAATCTACAAAACGGATTACACGTGATAAATCCTCAATTACTTCAGAACTGTTTTTATACTGATGATTTTCAGCCTTGCGTCTAATATCTGTTATCAAAAACGAGTCATCAAGTTTTATATCAAATGTTATTTTTGGCTTACGTAATAAAGGTAAAACGTATTCATCATAATATTCTTTTTGGTATAGTTTTAGAATCTTCACCAAAACAAATGGAGAAGTCATTAAATGTGCATATCTACTACGTGCTTTTTCAAAATTACTTTTTGCATTTTCAGTTAAATTGCAGAAGTTATAAACGTTATCGTATGCTTCATTAATTAAATGATTAGGTAACGAATTAATTGCTTGAAACAGTGTGAATAATGTAACTTCTTTTTCTAAATTCATGTTTCCACCGTCATTATGTACTTCAAAATCACTGATGCCATCAACTATGCTCTGGGCAAGTTTATCGTCAATGTTTACATCTTTGTTTTCATTCATTATACTCTTTATTTCTTCGTTCTTCTGTTCAACTCTTACCTTAATATTCAAATCATTTAATATATCGTTTACTGTTCTAGTTAATGTTGAATCGTAACTTCCACAAATGAATGAGTATGTATTGATTGGTTCTGTTGCATTCTTGCGAACTCTTGAATCAGCCATAACTACTAAAGAACGCTTTGAATCATCCATAGAAGTCATTATGTCAATATCATAATCATTGCAGGAATAACATTTAATCATTCTGTTCGAAACTGAATAGAAGAAATTGGTGTTGCAATAAATGTGAAGACCTCCTGAAGCAGTTTTAACGATAACATCTTTATCCGAAAGTTTTGATAAAATATCTTTTCTAACTGTTTCTTTAAGTTCATCATTGTATGATTTATTGATATCAACATCTATAATCGTTAAATTTGAAATTTTATTTACTAATAAAGCCATACCAGTTTTCCTTCCTCTTCCTCCATCGTGTTTGAGGTAGTTATGTAAATCAATCTTGTTTTCACCAATTCTTTCGTTGAGGGTTTTAGTTTCTGCCACAACTAATTCCTCAGCTAATGAATCAATAACTTTTTCATCAGAAACGATATAGTTGCTGTTGTTGTTGTTGTTTGTTGCTGTCATTTATATAGGAATAAAAAAATAAAAATAATTTTAAAACTAACTTTATTTTTGGACTGCATCATATTTCCTGGACTGTTGTCAAAATGTCATGTTGTCAGTAATTTTAAGAGAAGTTAATTAACCTGGTGACACATGGTGACGTGGTGACACCTTCAGTTATTCAAAAATAAATCATAATTGAATAACCTGAAACCATTAACGATAAAATATATTTTTGGTCGTTTATGATAAAAATAAATGGTTCATTTACTCACAATATTTTTGTACAAAACGACCCCAAACTTTTAACTTCTTTTCTGCAGTTTCTAATGCTATCTTAGCGAGTTCATATTCTCTAAATTCTCTCTTTAAATCTTCTTGTTCCCATTGGTCTAGTTCGTATGGAGAATCTCTACAACCATAACATATCTCACGTTCATGTTCTAATTGTTTTTCACACATTTTTCCAACTTCTTCAAACAAATGTTTAGCATTCTCTACTGTATCTTCGAGTTCTTCTTCATCTAATTTCTCATGAACTTTCTTGTCTATGGAGTCCATAATTTTTCCAACTGCTATGCAATATTTTGGAGAAGCCCACATTGCTATATAGTTTATAAGTCTTGGGTCTACATACGTTCCTCTAACCTGTTTGATTTCATCAGGAATTCCCGCATGAATTTTGTATAAAAACCAACCGCCGGAATTCCGACGGTTGCTATATTCTTCACAAAATGCCTTATAATACTCTTCCCAGGACTTATTTTCCAACAACTTTCTAAAGTCTTTCCTAAACGGCTGACACATATTTGTTGCATTAATGTAACCATCCTTGTCTCTACGTAAGACTTCAATACCATTATAAGTGCCTTTTGTGAATGTTTCGCCATTAGATTTGTTCGTGAATGTTTTTGCTTCGACTGACATTTCTGTTCTTACATACAAAATAAAAAAAATAAGAATAAATAATTTTAAAACTAACTTTATTTTTGGACTACATCATATTTCCAGGACTGTTGTCAAAATGTCATGTTGTCAGTAATTTTAAGAGAAGTTAATTAACCTGGTGACACATGGTGACGTGGTGACACCTTCAGTTCTTCAAAAGTAATTAATTATTGAATAACCTAAAAACCATTAACGTAAACATTAACGATAAAATATATTTCCAGGACTGTTGTCAAAATGTCATGTTGTCAGTAATTTTAAGAGAAGTTAATTAACCTGGTGACACATGGTGACGTGGTGACACCTTCAGTTCTTCAAAAATAATTAATTATTGAATAACCTAAAAACCATTAACGTAAACATTAACGATAAAATATATTTCTGCAGTTCATCCATTACTTCATTACCTAATTAATTACAGACATAAAATATATTTAGTTCATTCGGTAAGCCCTGACCCAAAGGTCTGGGCTCAAGCACGTTCAATGAACGCGGTACCATGCGAATACAGTCACAAATGGTGGCATGTAATCTTTACCCAAGCCTGTTGGATTTGTTGTGAAAGTATGGACATGATTTCCTCCCGGTTCAGTTTGTCGAAAAGTCTTTTTTGCTGCATTGTTATAAGATGGAGATAAAACGTCATTGCCAGCTTTATAGTCTGAGTTGTATAATGGGTGGTCTCTTAATGAGTGGCTATGGTCGCCAGAAAAGTTTGTAGTTCCTGTATGAGTGTGCGGTGGAAGGTTTGCTTCTTTAATTTTCTTCGAACCTCCTGTTTGCTTTGAATATCTAGCACAGTATAAGAATTTATCTACAATCTGCTTCCACGTACCAAAACCCAGAACTGTTGCTGGATTTGTTGAATTCATTGACGTATAAATAGAACCAACAGGATATAATGTTTGAAGTATTTCATTTTTCATGCTTGTAATCTCATCATTTACTTCCGACTTCTTTGCATAATTTTCATCTACATAAGTTTTATCTGCTTTAAGGTCTAAACATCCTGAAACCCATGCTGTATCAGCTTTAACTTTAAAAGTCTCCAATGTCCATTCATGATACCATTCAACCTTTTCTTTAATTTCATTATCTTTTTCATCAACATAAACCAAATTTGCCTTCTTATTTAATTCACTATCCACGTATTCCTTATCCACCCTCTTCATTATGTCATTTAGGAAACCTTCTATGAATTCCTCATTTAAATTAAATCTTCCAATCTTCAAAACTTTAGGAAATGCATTTAATGCGTAATATCTCTGTTCTTCTGGTGGAATTGATGTTATATCATCCGTTATTCCTTTAATTTTTGAATTCATAAATAAAATTTCTTTTATATTTGATATCACTGCACCACCTTTGCAAACGAATTCGAAACGGTCATTTTTCAATACTATCTCCAAATCTCCATATTTCAACCTTTGCGTTTGTTCTGCCGTCTTTGAATTATATGCATATATGGCGTATGTAATGGTCTGAAGGACCTGGGTGCTTTGCGCCTTAAGTTGCTGTTGTTTAATCATTTATTACGATTTAAAATAAATATTTAATCCGTTATCTCATCAGCTATTTTCTCTATTTGAAATTGCCATAATATTTCATTCATAAATTCTAAATCACAATCAAATAGGTCAGTTATTCTAAATTTAATATTTGATAAATCTTTTGAATGAAGAATAAATGAATTCCCGGATAATTGAAACGGATATGATAAAGAAAATGTGTTTAAGTTGATGGATAAAATGTTTTGTATTGATGGATAAGAGTTAGGGTCTAATGTTTGATGTGAAAATCTCATTGGGGTATTAACTTTATCACATTTGATTAAAATGAAATTGGAACCAGTGTCAGAATACAAAACATCCCAACATCTTTTTCAAAATTTAATATCCCCAACAATGAACGAAGATGAGGAGTACAAAATTTAATTTTCAGCGGGAATTTAATAAGGTTATTTATTTCATCAAGTTCAAAAAGTTTATCAGGTTTTGATTTAAAATTTTCTTCATACCATACGATAAATGATTCATTTAAATAACTTAAAATCATGTTAATATCCATTTCGCTATCACATTATTTATATACATATCATACGTTTTTTCATGGTCATCTTTAATAAATGATATATAATCTGAAGGGTCTAAAAGAATGGGATTAAATTTACCACTCACAGAAACGAGAGTAACATTATAAATTCCGCTAACTGTTAAATTTAATTCACAGTTATTATTCGAAATAATATTGATAATTGACATTTTTATTACGATTAAAAATATGGTAAAGCGTTATTTTCCAGTGATAAATAAAACTAGAATAAGATTACCTCAAGAATTCATAAATTCAACGAATAAGAAATTCATTCATGTTATAAATTTTAGTGTTTTCAGAAAATATGAGTCAGTGTCATATTCATCAACAGGTTATATTTCACTCCATTCAAATTTAGTTCAATCAAACCCATATAATGACCATTTCATAAGATTTTCAGATGGTATTAAAAATGTAATTGATAGATTAAAATATGAACAGATTGACAATATCGAATTTTTGGAATTTTGGTTTAAATATCCCGATGGAAAAAAGATTGAAGTTAAAGATAAAGCTGATACTATAACAAAAACAATTACAATGACCGATCCGGATAGTGGGGAACAAAAAGAAATAAAACAAACGATAGAAACTGGTGAAAGGTCAATTATTATTGATTATGATTCAAAGGATTATTATTCGATAATGTTAATGCTTGAATATTAAATAGCCTTAACAAAGAATTTTTCAAGTGATATTTTATATTCATCAACTATTTTATTATAAATATCATTATATGTTAAATGAAGTTCAGTTGTTGTTCCGTTCTTTGATATCTTAATTGTGCTAATATCCTTTATAGGATTTATTTTTGCAACTATTCCGCAGCATGAAACCTCATCATCTATGAAAAATTGAATCTTAACGTCTGAATCTTGAACATCACAAAGAATGGCGATAATGTGAATTAATGATTCATAAGGTAAAATAATTAAACCGGATTGGTCAATTAAATTTATTATTGAATCATAATTATTAATTATTATATCACGGTAAATTTTCATTAATTCAGAATTAATGTCTATTTTATATGGGTTCTCGATGTTTGATGAAAGAGGTGGGGGGTATGTTGGATAAGTGGGAATTTCAACAGGTTCTTTACCGGGTTCAGATAAAATGATTGGGTCTCCATTCTCATGGTTTTCTTCATTCTCCTCATTCTTCGGTAAGTCACGAGTTAATAAATTTGGTTGAGTTGCTGACCTTGTTAATTCAGGGCTAACATTAACTTTAACATTTTGAATAATTCGTGATTTATCATCATTTACGTTATAACCAACCGTAATCTCTGCTTTTGCGTTAGTGTTCTTTTGACTAGTGAAACGTCTTCTCATTTATATTCGAATAAAAAAAATATATTTGAACTTTTATTTTGCTGGAAGTTTTGAATCTATTATTCCCTGTATTTGTTCTTGAAGTTGATTTTTAGCTGGTTCATTGTAATTAATAGACCTAATATATTCATTAATTGCATTCTTATAATCATCTGATTTCTCAAATTTTCTTTTATCTGATTCCTTAACTAAATCATAAGTTAAACCTCGTTGCTGATATAATGGTTTCTTCATTAAATCTTTGAATGCTTGAGATAAAGCCCCTGATGCAATTCTTGCTACTATAATTGGTTGGAATTGCTGTTTAAGTTCATCTTTAACATTTGCGAAAACTGGATCGAATAAAGCAACTTTAAAGAATTTCTTAGCTGAAATTTCAGGTCTAATATTTGCATATTGACCATCAAACTGGTTAGAATATTGTGGTAATCCATCCGGTCCCTCTTCAATAGCATTTAATTCTTCATTGAAATAAGAATATGGATTATGACGGTATGAATTAATTGGACCATTTTCACCTTCTCCAATGTATTGTTTAACAGCTTTTCCATTTTCATCAAATTGCATAGGATAACGTTCATTATATGCTTTACGTTTAGGATAATCAGATATAGTTAATTTATAACCATTTATGACTTTAATATTACCTTGACCATCAGTAACGAAAACTTCATTTATACCATCAGGTTTTCCATTTGGACCCGTAATGTCTGCTTCGTGTGCTTCCCAATTTGGACCATGACGTTTGGCATATGCTTGAGCTTCTGGTAATGTTAAAACGTTTCTCATTTGTTTAACATCTTTTTGAAGACCAGCAACAATATGAACTAATTCTTTCATTCCATCAGGAACTTTCATAGTTCTATTATATGCACCCTTTTTGTTTGTTCCTTGTTTTAATGGAACCTGTAGAAGATTTGCTATTTCAGTCATGTTTAATTATAAATAAAAAATAAAAATTAATTATAAAAAGTTAATCAAATTTAACACCTCCTTTATTTAAATCAACTATTATTTTTCCATGTTCACCTAATTGCTGATATTGTGTGTAAAGTTCATTAATGCTCATTGGTAAATTCACTTGATAAAGCATAACGTTCAACTGTTGACGACTAAACCCACTGAAAATGAAAAGGGTTGATAGATTTGATTTAATGTTTGTGCTTAATGCTTTGAAATATTGAACAGCCATAAAGAATGAACACTGAATGTGTCGACATTGAGTTAATAACTGATTAAAATATGATTTCTCATTTGTTATTAGTTTTGAATTCACTGCATCATCTAGAAAAATGAGTGAATGCAAAAATTCTCTATCAAAATTTGAAATAGAAAGTGTTTCAAATAATTCATCCCGTTGTTTATCAATAATTTTATCCTCTAATCCTTGCTTCTTGATTGTATTATATAATTCTTTATACATTAAAAAGTTTTTTAAATAATCTTCTGCTTCTTCTTGTGATAAATAAATAATTGGAATTTTGATTAAATGCTTTAAAGATTCAAATGTATCATCTGAAGGTGAACCTGAACGGTTGATATAAATTAACACATGTGAATAGGGAGAAGTGTTAGCAATAATGATAATTTGTTTTAATATCGTTAATGTTTTACCTTTATTTTGTTTACCAATTGCTGCAGTGATTGAATTTAAGTAACATTCAGAATATGGAATTTTCATTAATTTTTCCTTAGATAGAGCATTTCTATTATCACTCAATGCTTCATTAATCATATCATCTACGTATGTATTATATACTCCTGCTAATTCTTCATAAGGGGTGGATGAATTTAAATCCATTTAATCAAAAATAAATTTATAATTTTAAACATTTCTATTCATCAATATTTCATCATATGAACTTCTATACTGTGGTGGTGTACCTGTTGGATGATATTTCAAACCTTCATCCGGTGTCCATGTCCAATATGTAGTCCTAGTAAACCAAACCTGAGGAGGATTTGTCACCTTTGAACAGTAAGTGTCATTTTCACCCTGAATGATTGGATAAGCTTTCACTTGTACTGTAACTTGTGAGTTGAAAGTTTCTAATCCATCAAAGAATATACCCGCTCCATCACGTTGAACTGGAATAGTGCATAAGAATGAAGTTTGGTCTTTCCATGTTCTAGTTAATGGCGTGCCATCATCTGCATTCAGTGGTCTAGTTAATGAGTCCTCGTATTCTTCTGTGCATTCATTCACTCCATCTAAATCAGAAGCTTGAAGCATACGTGTAAAGAATATGTCACCCACTGTGGTCATCGCTTGATCGGGGAAGTTTCTGGAATCTATAGTGACCTGAAGACCTCGAAGCATTGGATTTTCTAAAACTGTTCTTTGCATTGCATTCTTCGGAAATGTTAACACAACATCTGTAACATTATGAAGAGCGTATGAGAAATCTGAGCTGATACCTTCAGGAGTGATGCAACCTCCATTTAGTGAACGAACGTCAATATGTTGAGCTGGAATCATGAATGGATCTTCCTTACTGAATAAACGTGGTATTGCTTTAACTGATTCTTCAATTAAACCGTATCCTGGTGTAATACATTTATCCTCTAAAACTTCCATCTTTGTGCATGAAATAATAACGTCATCAACTGTTGCGTCAGCAGATGTAGCGGCTAAGCTTGTAATTAATTTGGCAGGAAGTCCGATTTGTTGGAATTTGCGATCATATTTATAAACATGATTCATAATCTTTTCATAATTTTCATCAGTTATCTTTTCATAAACGTAATTTTGTAAATCAGCAACTCTTAACGGGTCAACCTGACAAAATACTAAAGTATCCCTGAAAACATAATATTTAAGAATGATATCACCAAATGATTTAGGATAATCATCGAACGCCTGAAATGCTAACAAATCATTTACCGGAATAATCATATCAAAAGTGATATCAACTTCTTTATTTGCGTTCTTGAAAACTTCTGAAGGGTCAATATATTTACCACATATTGAGTTATCATATTTTTGAACATTATTATATAACGAATGAACAAACTTTTTAACTTTCCTTTCTGATTTTGGTTTATATGTTGCAAATGCGAAAGATTCACGGGCGCAATCCATCTGAAGATAACCGGCATCACCTCTTTCGGTTTCTACTTCTAATTGTTTAAAGCTTTGATTTGATGATTTGTAACCAACGAATAAACGCATGCATTTAAAAGCGGCATCACATGTGAAAGCTTTATTTGAAACTAGAGTTGCTTTAACTTTGCGTTTAATATATGTGTCACCTAATTGGTTCACATCATGAGCTGGATTTGTAATTCTTAAATGAGTTTGTTTATCATCAAAATATGGAGTATCAGAGTCATAGCATGAACTTTCAAGTTCTCTATAATATCTTCTACCGTCATTCTTTGCGAATATTTCATTTATCTTTTCAAATGAATGAAATACATTTCCATTAATCGGTTTAGTGTTTGGCACCAAATAGTTAGTCGTCATTTATTAATAAATAAAAAATCAAAATTAAAAGATGAAAATGAATTTTTAATTTTAATGAAATAATCAACTATGGCTGCAGGTATATTTAAGAAACTGTGGGATAGAGTAAAAAGAGGAGCGAGTAAAGTTTGGGAAACATTGAAGAAGGGGGCAAATTGGATATTTAAGAATAAAGAAGCAATTAGTGACGTTGCTGAATCAATAACACCAAAAGCTGCCCCAATAAGAGAAGTTTTAAATAAAGGAGAAAAAGTTTATCAAAGACTACAACCGATACTAAGATAAAAATAATATTTATTTATTTTTCCACTATCTACCTCCTATTTTATTAAGTATTCCTTCAGCTATTCCACCAATTGCGTTACCTGCTTGTGCTCCCATCGCCGGATTACCTGCTTTAGTACCTAATACTCCACCTATGATAGTTCCTGCCGTTTTCGCTACTGGTGCCAAAAAGTTTGCAATGGGTTTAATAATCTTTTTATGAACCCAACCCGCAGCTTTCTTAATTCCATCCCATAATTTTTTAAAGAATCCTGCCGCCATTTCTGATTTAATATTAATTAAAAAATATATTTCATCACTTATATTCTAATTTTTATTTAATGATAAATGAAACCGACTTTAAAAATAAATGAAACAGAGGAGGAAGAAATAAATGAAAGTGAAAATGTTCAACAAAAAATAAACGTTGTTAAACCAATTACTGAAATAAAATTTTTTCATCTGTTGAAGAATTTAATGACTATTATGCTAATAATAAAAAATTATTTGAAGAATTGAGTGGGGGACAAACTCGCCCATTGTCACTTTTCATTAACCTTAAACTTGTAATTTTCATTATTTTTAATTAACCTTATTTCTTTCCCAATTCCTGATTTATTTTATTCACTTACTATTAAAAGTCACATTTTAATAAAATATAATAGGCAAAATCGCAACCGAATTTTTAAATCTCGATCGCAAAGAAAAATTTCGATTTTTTATAAAATCGCGAACTTCTGAAAAATTGCGAACAGAAAAAAATCGCGATTGTTTTTGAAATCGCGTTTTATTAGAAGTACGCGATTTTATAAAAAATCGAAATTAGATTAAAATATAGCGTCTAAAACCAAATTGCGAACAAGTTATGTATTGATTAAGAAAAATATATTTAAGATGAAGAATTGCTTGCTATGATGTACTGATTCATGATCAGTACATCATAGCAAGCAATTCTTTACATGAAGTTCGAAAACTTGGGTGCAATCAGATCTGATTGCACCCAAGTTTTCGAACTTTGTATAGGGAATTAAAGGGTGAGAGATATATAGTCTATCTATATATCTCTCACCCTTTAATTCCACCTCTGTAAGCGATAAAATTTTATCAAATATTTTATACTACGAGAAATTATGGCTTTGTTTCAGAGACGTATTGAATTTACCGATTGTGTTAAAATGAGATCGCTTAATCTTTAAATTTATTAAGTTAATCAAATTTTTGATTAAACGCAACGCTGTTTTGTGAAATCAAAACGATAAATATTCAATGCAAACGCACCTGAGCTATGTTCCTTTATTGCAGCCATTAAACATTTGTCTGGCTCACAATTTGAGAGCACTTCACCTAAATAATGCTATAATGAAAATTGAATTAATAAAAATCGTTTCTTCAAATAAACTTCACAAATATATTATCATTATGTGAATTTTTACTTATAAAATTAAATACATATTTAGTTTCTAGTATTTTTTTTTCTATTGTCATTCAAAATATAGCTACAAAACGAAGAACCATAATTTTGATAAACACTAAATGATAATATGATTTATAATATAAATAAATATTTTCAAGTCCAATAAATCAAAATTGATATTTTTAAAAAAACTAATTAAGAATTCAGTGATAATTTTATCAAATATTACAAGACAATATGATTTATAAGCAGAATAAAATGGGGAGAAGCTTCCTAAACTTTTTAATCCCATAAATATGGTCATTATCTGGAATAAAGAGTTAAGCGTCATATGTCACTTTTTGTACTAAGGAAACATCGACTTTATGCGTTATGACTTTTCGATGAGGAAACAAAAAAAAAAAAAAAAAAAAAAAAAAAGGAATTGGGGCTTCCAGGCACTTCGTGCCTTCTAGCCCATAAGAAATTTTTGTTTAGATTAAAATTAAAATTTTTATTCTGAAATGTTTGCTTTAATGTTTTTTATGGATGGAAATGAACTGGATATCGTCTGAGTCTTCGCTTGTTTCCTCCTCTTCTTCTTCTTCGTCCGAATTGTCTTCATCTTCACAATAACCAGATAAGAAGATGGTTATTTTGGTTTGTTCTGGTTTTTTGAGAAGCATTTTGGCTGTGCCAGTAAAAACGAACTCAAGATTTTGATAGAATTGTCTGCTTGAGTGAGTGAATTTGCATACTGTAAGTGGCATTGCAACTCGGTTTGCTTGAACAGATATTATTGAAACTTCTTCTCCATCTGGTATCCGTTCAATAATATCTAAAGCGGCTGTTGTTATAATATGCATATTGTTTTCGTAATGCAATTTTGGATATATTTCGAATGGATGTGCAGCTACACCAGCTGGAGCAACAATGGAAAGATTCCAGGAGAAAGAACCGTGTTTGTTTTCATCTTCTTTCCAATTGTAAGTTAAAGGATAAGGACGAAAGTCTTTGAGTGTTTCATATAACTGTTCTCTTAAGTTTGGTTCACAGCAAAATGAATTCGTCAATTGCTTGAAGAGATATCATAGTTGAAACATAAGGCAAATTCGACAAGAAAAAGTCAACCATTACTGTCGGGTTTTGAACTTTGTTTTCTAATGTTTCGACTGGTTTTATTATACTTTTGAAATATCTATCATAGTCATTGTTGTCTGTTAAGGACAAATTGTTTGGATAATCTGCAATGAGTCTTCTATATCTTGCTTCTGTTGTTGAGAATGAGAAGACACCTTCTGGTTCTGTAGGAGTGTAAGTTTTTGGTTGAATTTGAGCTTCAATTTGTGTCTGATTGGAGTCTGATTGGACTGAAACAACTTGAGCTTCTGTAGTTTGTTCGACTTCGGCAGTTTCTTTTGGTTGAATTTGAGCTTCAATTTGTGTCTGATTGGAGTCTGATTGGACTGAAACAACTTGAGCTTCTGTAGTTTGTTCGACTTCGGCAGTTTCTTTTGGTTGAATTTGAGCTTCAATTTGTGTCTGATTGGAGTCTGATTGGACTGAAACAACTTGAGCTTCTGTAGTTTGTTCGACTTCGGCAGTTTCTTTTGGTTGAATTTGAGCTTCAATTTGTGTCTGATTGGAGTCTGATTGGACTGAAACCTGTGTAACCTCTTTGGACATACTAGTAAAGTATGAGATATAAGTGTTTGACCTTTAAAGAGCTTTTGTAAAGAATTGTCAGTCATGCTACTACTGTGGTCTTCCATTAGACAAAAATGAACTGACGAAGTTTTGGAAAATGATATTGAATAAAAACCGTTTTCGTCAACGGTAACCCCTCTATTTTTTTATTTTATTTAAAGTTCCGTTGGCAAACCGTTCCATCTCAAATATTGAATGAACTATAAACGTTTTTTGTTTTCTATATATACTTTTTTGTCCAACGGTAAAACTTTTTACACAACGGTTTTTGAGAGTCGTCGCCGTTGACTTTTTTGTAGAGCACTCAAAATAGTATAACTTTGTCCGGACAAGTAAGGGTCTATCGTCGCTACAGGAAAAGTTACAGGCGTTCCAAGGAAGTATACTTTGAGAAGACTTTCCCCCTTATAGAATGAGATAGGACGGTTATTTTACAAAACTGACAACACTTTGACCGAGTAGTTTTTTGTGCTGAACAAAAAGTGTCATATAAACATCTGTCAAAAACCGCTTTTTAACTTCACTTAAAATGCCACGTAAGCTACGTAAGAATATACGTAAGAGGAAGAGAGCATTGAAACATCCAATAGTAAAACTGACACCACAACAACAGTTGCAACAACAAATGATGAATGACCCCACTATGTTGCAACAAATGTCAAGCAATCCTATGCTTTTAAACCGAGTTGTTGGTGCACAGAGTGGAGGTTTAAGAGCGGCACTTTTAGCGAAAATGGCAGGCTATGGTGGAGCTGCAGACGGAACAGCTATAACCCTCAAAGTCAAATGAATTTGAGTTCACTCAAAAATCAAATAACAGATGTCAAAAAGTCAAACATAGACATACAGAAGCAAATAAGTGAAAACGAAAAGAAACTAGAATATGACAGACACACAAAGAAACTCAATGAGTTAAACGTAGAGAAAAAGAAGAAAGAAGAACAACTGAAAGAACTAAGTACAGAGGAATATGCGAAAAAAGTGTCAGAAAAAGCAGCAGAAGTAGCAAAAATGGAACAAGATGTCATAAATTTGAAAAACCATACTACTCAATATAAAATACTGAAAGATGAAGAGATAAAACAAAAAGCCCTGAAGACATATATGGATAGCGATGAGTATAAAAAAGAAGTTGAAGCAAATGTAAAGGCAGAAAAACTTTTACAGTTGCAAAACCAAACCGTACAGTATGAAAACTTAGCACAAGAAAGTAAAAATAACGACGCAGCCATGCAAAAGGCAATGAAAAGCGCAGAATATATAAAAGCTAACAATGACTGGTTAGATGCCCAAGCCAACGCTAAAGCAGCCCAACTTATAGGGTCAATAAGGACAAAAATACAAGCGGATGAAGACAGTTCAAATGAAGCTTTAACAAATGCTGACTTTAAGAACGCCTTCGAAGCTCTTCATAGTAAGGTGAAACAAGTGAACGACTTCTCATCTGGAAAGAAACTGAAGTCTGAAGGTTTCGACAAAGAGTTAAAAGAAGTAGCACAAAATATGACGAAAATAACAGATGCAGCAACGAGACAGGCAGTTCAAAGTGCCTATGACGCCGTTAGAGCAACTGTTGTGAAAAGTCAAGAAAAAGAGTTACAACAGACCAAAACAGACCTAGTAAATGCTTTCTTAAAAACGAAAAGTCAGGTAGGACATTACGCTGCAGATGGAACATATGTGCCAGCTGGTGGAACTTATATACCACCAAACCCTCCAAGAGAAGCACCTGCACCAGGACTACCTAGAACATTTACATCGTCACATGGACACAGACACAGGCATGCACAACAACCAGCAACAAAACCACCTCCACAACCAGCACAACAACAACACAACACCAGCACAGCAACCAGTTCAAAACCTGCACAACAACAACCACAAACAGAGCAAGGACATAAAAGAAGTAGAGAACAAGGAACCAAGAATTCTTAAAATGCTTAAAGAAGAGTGTGGTTTCCCAGATACTGTTGACTTTAGTGCAGATATAAAGAAGCTATTGGAAAGTTCAAGGATGGAAATACTGAACCGAACCTATTTAGCTTTATGGCTCAGCACCAAAACGGATATAATCTCAAACCTGGAAAATACAAGCTCGCTAAGGGATATGATTTAATAGCATATCATCCAAATGACATGGATGAATTTACTCCGAGATATTTGATGTCAGAGCTAAATGACAATTCAACTTTCGTCATGAAACGCGTAAAAAATAGAGACGGAACGAAAGAACAAAAGCTTATGAATGCGGATGACGTAGATAGGGAAATTGTTGAAAACGGTCTCGGAATATATGAAATGCCAGCAATGAGGTACAAGAAACTCCACAGGAAGAAGTTCAGATACAACCAGACATGGAAGAAATAGTTCAGCAACAACAGCTAGAAGAGGCCTGAAGGAAACGAACAAGTCCTTCCTTTGGAAACTAACTTCACAGAACTAGATGAAGATTTGGAACAGCGAAAAATCTTGACCTCAACAAGAGTATGCGGAGAATATGGAATATTTCCAAGAGTCTAAAAAAAATTCGGCTGACATAGTAGAAGAATATCGAAAAATGTTTGCCGACATACAAAGACTCCAACATCAGATGAAAATATCCAGCATAGAATGGAAGAACTGAAAAAAAATGTACACAAATACAACAACCCTTTTTACTTACGAGCATTTAACGTTCAATCTTCGGATGAACTCGGTGAAAATAAAAGGTTAAATTTCAAGAAAACATATAGAAATGAAACATTGTTTAAAGTTCATTCAGAACTAACCAAGATGGAAACAAACCTACTTTTGTTTCTGCAGACGATGGAACTACAATGAGATGGGGTCATAAAGCTAATCCGGATAGGTGGTTCATAAACTTACAACCACAATTCCAAGAAGTTGTAGACGCAATGGAAGTCAATGGTGAACCAGATATAGCTGGTATTTTCAGCGCGGCTTTAATGCCATTGAAAGATATGAAACATGCAGATATTTTGGACCAGTATGAAATGAACATGGCTGATGGAAATATAACACCTGACGTTCTAGAACATTTATCTCAAAGAACTACACAGAACCATAAAGATGGTATATTTGGTGAAGAGGTTTAGAAAGAAAGTTAGGGATAGAGAAGGAAGAGAACCTATTGTACATGACCTTGCAAACGAAAGTTTACAAAATGTCATAAAAACTTACTTTGCAGACAATGAACCGAGAAGGGATGAATATTTAAGTAAACTCAAATGGACAGTACCAAATGAAATGTTAGTATTGAAAAACATGTTCCTTGACAAAATAAAAACCAACTACAGAAATAAACGACGCAAGACTGAAAGATTGGGTAAAAGCTTTCCCATTCACAAAAGATATAGTTGGTAAACATGGAAAGAAAACCAGAATGGCTACAAAAACATATATTTGGAAACGAGCATATTCCATATGGACAAGCTATATTTGAAGAGCTTGAACCGGAAACTCAGGAAAGAGTCATGCAAACAATACGCGAAGACTCAAATACAAACTATGACAAAATCTTTCTAGGATATAGGTTACCTGAGATGGGCGACCAGAGCCCAAAGGCAAAAAGGACATGGAAAATTTACAACATACTAGGTGAACATGAGGCAAAGATGCAACAAAACTCAGTCAGGAAGAAAGTAAAGCTTGGTCCACGTGGGTTCTATTATGACACATAAACCCAACTATTCTATATTTTTACCCATATGAAATGTACGCCGCTCAGAATATAACGCCAACAGTTTTGGATGCCATGAACGGAAATGTTTCCGAATGGTATAACGAATGCGACAATGCCATTAGAAGGTCAGAAATAGTTCCTGGAACTTACGAATATACAACTGCTGTTTCTTATGGAAACGTAGGTGAGTTTGGTGAAGGTTCTTCAACAACAGTAGATATTGCATGCGACAGGTTTCACATTATTTCTATTGACAACTCATTCTTATACGTGGAACAAGACATTGAAATAAAACCTTCTGCCAAGTTGTCTGACAAGAAAGGTTGCAATGGAATTTTCTATGTCGGATACCAATATGCTCCAGAAGTTTTTCATGGGATATAAGATATATTCTAACTCTGACTTAGTTCAAACAGTAACATGGGCAAACTATGAATGGTTCGCTTTGAGAAACTCAGTACAACCACAAGCTAGAGAACAAACAGACCAGTATGCAACTATTGAGAAAATAAGAAGACTTGACCCTAACGTTCCAGGAGTTTATGTTAACCTTTCTGGTTCAGATGGAACTGCTGCCACTAAAGTAAAACTGAAACTTAGAGTTCCTTTGTCATCTTTCCTCATCTTCAGGTTTTTAAGATACTTGCCAAACTGGGCAGGAAAAATTTCTATCGAACTTACTCCAAGCAAAAATAACTTAGTCATTGCACCAACACAAGACCCATTCACTCTTACTGTAGCTGGAACTGGTGGAGCCAAGTTCTGTGACTTTTGCAAAAGACAAAGTTGACTTAGACTTTGGTTTCTCAAACTTCAACACTGAAGTAAACTATTATTTCAATGCTGCTGGAACTGCTTGGGACCCAGTTAAGTTCACATGCGAAAAATTTGAATGCAAGAGAATAGAAAGCAGACTTGCCGTTTATATGTTGGACCCAGATATTTCAAATGCTTTAGCTGCCAAATATATTGCAGTTCCACTTATGTTCCCTATACACCAAATATCTGTCAAAGACTTTGCAGGTGAAGTTGGAAACCAAAGTGCTGACCCAGGTGCAAGAACAGATATTGCTTTAACAACTGCAATGAAACATGCAGATACTATGTTTGTACTGTTCAGACGAACTATAAATGACTATTCTTGTTTCTACAACCCGGTATTAAATATCATATAAACATAGATGGCAAATATTATCCAAGAGAAGAATATTCTACAGTTGAGGATATGAGGTCATACAACTTGACATTAGATGCTATGAACTTTAACAACAACTTCACAACAACCATTAACCCTGAAATGCAAAGTTCTATTATGCCATATGTGAAAGTATGGACTCATACAGGAGGTCAAAAAACTCAATATACAAATGGAGACCGTTCAAACTTTTGGCTTGGCATTCCATTTGCTGACTCAGAAGACTTTATGGGTGGTATTTCAACTGTTGGTACTGTACAAATACAATATACTGGTGACAGAGACGGTCCAGATGAATTGAAAGCAAAGAAGTTTACAAAACCAATAGCACTTTTCACGGAAGATGCTCTTTTGAAGATTCGTTCGATGAAACCTGCTGGGGCTCCTCAGATTGGCATAACGACAGCTTCCATCGAGCAGATTTTGGCAGCAGGTCAGTAAGTTGTTCTTGAACTGACTTCTCTCCGTCAAATATTGACAGTACGCCAGTTTTGACATAAAATTGTATTATAAACTTACCTTTAGAAATATCGGTCAGTTTTGAAGTTATATTTTTGTCAACGTCAAGAACTTTCACCATCTCGGTTATACCAACTTTCTTTGCTTTATGGAAATATTTTGGTTCAGCAAATATTGCTATTCTATAACATTTACCATTGTTTGTATAAAGAACTATTCTGTCAATGTATTTGTATTGTTTGTGTGTGTAAACTTTGTTCTGCTTCAATTCGAAGAGATACTCAAATACGTCCATCTTTTTATTCTAAGTAAAATGTCATTTCCGAAAAATAGAAGCGTAAGTGTTTCAAAAGGTTTAATGGCGGTGGCAGATGTGAAGTTAAATTCACCAACTCAAACAAACAGTCAAAGTGTTGTTGTCAATGTCAAAGAAAGAGATGTTGAAGTGGGGAAACCATACGAAGACGAAGATGGTATAACAATAGTTCCTGTAAAAGAACAACCAACATACCCTGAAGTTAGCAGAGACTTAAGTTCTGTTGCAGATATTCGAAATGACTACCAACAACTGAAAGACAAACTTCAAACTCAGGAGAAGATTTGTCAAGCTTTAAGTATAATGTTAAACTTGGTCGAACACAACCCTGTAAAAATGAACTCATATGTCATCGCACCTCATGAAATTTTGAAAGAACTATTGAAACTTTTGACAGAGGCAGATGATATAAACATCAAAGAAATAGAACCCGACATTAGTTGCTGTGGTGTTTCATATAATGTCATTGACAAGATATACGTTATGAAAGGAGGTGAAACGTTGAACTTAAAATATAGTTTCCCAGACGTCATAAAAATATTTGACGACCACAACATTTCATTAAAATTTACTTGCTAAGTAAAAATGGCAGAAGACATAGTGGTTTATACTATTACGACTAAAAACCCTGAGTCATATAATTCTATAACAACAAACTTACAAAGTCCTCAAGGACGATATTGTAAACTGACCTTAAACACGATGACGACTAAAGCCTGTTTTGCTCTTTTGACACCAGAAGACTTTGTTGTTGTGAATGGTAAAAAATACTTCTTTGAAGATACTTACTCAGATATACCACCAACAGGTTTTGTTGACTTATTTAATACTTTAAGGACGGATGTAACATGTGCTGCAACTAGAGCAGGTTTCATTATGTTTGGATGTCCGACTGAGTTTACTATAAACGATATGAGCTATAATACAAAACTTATTTCTGGTTTTTACTACCAACAGTTTCCTATAACAGGAAAAGGTGTCATACAAGGAATGTCTATTCCATTGACATTAAGCACACCAATCTTATATATTGTTTCAAACTTAGGTTCAAAGTGTTATTCGAATGTCGACAGAAACTATTATGACCAAAAGATACTTATGCGTATAAACAATACTTTCTCTGCTGGTTTGCCTATTGTTCATTCGAATGCAGAATTTTCAACCTTAGTGAACTCAAACACTTTGGCAAGTATAACGTTGACATTAGTTGACGCAAACTTTGTTCCTGTAAAACTTTTATGTCCTATGTATTTGTCAATGACGGCAGAAAGTTTCGAATTGGAAGATGCAACCGGTGAAAGTATTGTATTACAAGAACAACTTCAACAACAAATAGCTCAAGAACAACAAATGCAACAAATGCAACAACAAAGTCAAGAATAAAAAAAATATTTTTTTTATTTTTATAAAAATGTACAGAATAGATGTTTCAGATTTTTATGACTTCCAAGCATTCAGAAATATGTGTCCATTTCGAGACTATAACAAAGCAGTCGAGAATTTGAAACGTTTAGTCATTTATGTCGACTCTGCCCCAGAATGTTATGTCATGAAAGAATGGGATGTTGTCTTTAACAAACCTAAAGCGACAATAGTTTCAGAACAAGAATGTAGACAGAAACTTAAGAAAATAAAAGTTGTACAAGTTGGAATGAAGATGTTAGATGCTTGGGATATCTTATTGTCAAAGTTAGAAGATTTTTCAGTTCGAGGTATAAAAGTTCTATACACCTTCTCCAAACTTCTATTCTATCTTCACTGGATATAAATACGAACAAGTAGAATGGAAAGAAAATATTATAGAAGCTTGGTTAGACCATGTCAAAGAAATTATATGCAATGGAAACGAAAGAGTCTATGAGTATATCTTATGTTGGTTTGCAAACATCTTACAACATCCAAGTGCTAAAAATGAAACTGCTCTCATTATAATTGGAAAACAAGGAACTGGTAAGAACACATTCTTTACAGATATCTTATGCAAACTGTTAGAAGGTTATTCGAATCCGAATATGACAAACTTAGAAAACATCTGTGGCAAGTTTAACTCCTCAATAGAGAATATGAAACTTATAGTTTGCAATGAACTTCAAAGTATAGATACAACAAAAGTTTTGAACTCAGATGCTTTGAAGAGTCTTATAACAGACAAAGTTGGAGTTGTTGAAAGAAAGTATAAAGACCAAAGAGTTTGTGAAAATGTTGCAAACTTCATTATGGTTTCAAACAATGTTGTTCCGATGAAGTTAGAAAGTTCTGACAGAAGATATGTAGTTGTCAGAACGTCAGATTCTCATATGCAAGATACAGAATATTTTGACGACTTAGCAGAAACTTTGACATCTGACTTTTACAACCACTTGTTCTCATATTTCATGACATTAGATATTTCAAAGTTCAATCCAAGACAAATTCCACATACCGAAGAAAGACAAACATTGTTAGAAGCAAACAAGAGTGTTTATGAACTGTTCATAGATGAGACTAACTTTGAGTGTTTAGATGAAAGGTCATTGTACGATTCATATAAACAGTATTGTCAAGAGTATGGTTATATGGCAGCGTCTAAACGAACATTCTTGGCAAATGTCAAAAATCTTTTAGATGTTCAGAACGGCGTATATACAAAGAAAAATTTTTATGAGTAAATTTTAAAAAAAATATTTTTTTATCCGATAGAAAAGATGACGAAATATATTTCAGTCAACAAATATATGTCAGGACTTAAAGAAGAACTAGACCCATTCATATATTTGAATGTTTACTTCTACCATTTTGAAAAGTCTACATTTGACAAAGTTTGGAACATCGAACCAGTTAAGTTTGCTATTGTGACTAAAAATGGTGCGAAATTTGAAGACTTAGACATAGAAGGTATGTTGACAGTCAAAGAAAATTTTGACAGAAAGTTCTCAAAACTCGAAGAAGGTAAAGCATACAAACTTGTTATACCTTATGAACCAAAGAAAGCAGACGACTATGAATATTATGAGTCTAAGATAGTTGAAGTTCAAGGTAAATTGGGTAAAAAGATTTTAGAGTCTAAGCCAGTGTTTGCTCCTAAAGAGGAAGAGAACATTGACATTGACCCAGAAATGTTCTAAAAATAAAATTTTATTTTTACATGTCATATCTCCCCTTCTCTGGAACTGGTTCAGGTTCTTTCTTCTCTTCTACTTTCTTTTCTTTCTTTTCTTTCTTTTCTCTCTTCTTCTTCTTTTCTGGTGGAGTTATGTCAAATTTGGCGCAACCATATTTATGTAAAAGTTCTTTGTCCTTTAATAGCTCTTCTATTCTGTTTTCTATTTCATCTTCAAGAACAGCGCATGTGCCTTCTTTGCATTCTAAGAACTTTTGTTGGACTTCATCTTTCCAATCGGCGTCATCTCTGTCAACAAGTCTGTCATTGACAAATTTTAAGACTGCTCTGCTTAATGTTTTATGGTTCTTGTCATATTCCCAGAAACAGAACTTTAGAACAAATTCACCTTTCTTGTTTACACTATGTAAGATTTTATGGTCGACAGAAGTTTTAGAGTCAAAAAGCTTGTCTCGAATATAGATAGCGAAATCACTAGACATTTTCTAAAAGATAAAAATTTTAATTTTTCTAAAAATATGTTAGAAAAAAAGTTTGCTGACATTGACAAAAAATTTGAGAATGTTTTAAACAAGAACAAGAGGAAGTTAGAAAATGCTCAGATAAAACCCATACATGAAAAGTTCTTATTTGCTCAGAATGGTATAACAGGTCTAATCGCACCACCTGGGTCGGGTAAGACTTTCACTTATCTTAAAATGGCTGCACAACAACAAGAACTAGATGAGAAGAACCCATTCTATGAGTTAGTAGTCATTTGTAGTACTTCTGGTCAATTTGACCAAACCGTAAATTCGTTCAAAGATATTATAAAAAAGTCTAAGTTAGTATGTATAAAGGATACTGAGTTGTTAGATTGGATAAAGAAGTACCAAAGAAGAGTTTTGAAGTATAATGCTATAAATGAGTATATAAATTCGAAGTTTAAAGACCCTAATGAGGAAATGCAGAGAATATTAGAGAAGAAACACTTCAGAAACAAACAGAAAGAGATAGAATACATTTCGAAGAAATTGCAATCTTACGATTGGAAGACTTACCCTCATAGATGTCTTCTTATCTTAGATGACTTTGCTTCTCATCCTTTGTTAAAGAACAGAGAACAAGACATGTGTCGAATTCTTAAGAAGCTCAGACACTTCAACATCTCAGTTGTCATTTGTGTACAGACAGCCAAGAGTTTAAGTAAGGATGTAAAGAGAATACTTACTGACATTGTACTTTTCCCCGGATTGTCCGAAGACGATTTCATGGAACTTATGAAAGAGTCCATGGCAGGTAAGTTTGACAGACATGAACTATGGGAGAAGTACAAAGTCATACAAGACCCTCATACTTCTTTCAGAATTCATATCTACGCAAACAAAGTTCAAATTGTAAAAAGTCAAGCTTGAAAAATAAACGGTTCATTTACCCTACTTGTTTGAAGTTGTCAAAATACTCTGTTATTTTTCACGATTTTCATACGGAATCTCTTCTCTCAGTTTTTTCGAGGGTAGCAAGCATATGAGGAAATTCATGAAATTTGGTCATTTTCAGCAAAAATAATGTTTCGGTGAAGAGGTGAGATTTCACCTGTTTTTTCACCTCTTTTTTCACCTCTTGAATTTTGTATAAAAGATATGATTTCAGGGATTTTTTTTACGAAGTGTCAAAGTTCTCTTCGTCACTCATAACAGTTATATAATGAAATTTGGTCATTTTACTCAGAATTCAGCAAAAAATAATGTTTAGGTGAAGAGGTGAGATTTCACCTGTTTTTTCACCTCTTTTCTCACCTGTTATTTTATAAGCGTTTTACATGAATTGTACGATGTATATTTGAAATCCTAAACAGTTTTGTAGCTTCTATTTCTTCTGTCAGTACATCGAATGTTTTAACGATACCGAAAGTTTCTTTATACTTCTTCTTGACGTCAGATAATAGGAAATCTTCTGCTGTTGGATAGTTTTTGTTCAGAAATGCTAACATATCCATTTTATTTTCTGCTGGTTTTTCTGCTTCTTTCTTTAAGTCTGCATAGTCGTTTCGCATACGTTCTATCTCTTTGACGGAGTAGTTATATTTCCTCATTGCTGCTTTACATTTAGAACATTGCGGATTCATTTTTGCGTTATATTCTGAAACCTTACCTGCTAAAACAACCAAGGCGTCAATTGCTCTCTTCATCTCAAACATAGCGGGTCTTATCTGTTCATTCCATACCTTACCCCTACTATCTTTATCTCTTATTTCCCATACACATTTTGCAACTAATGAAACAAAGTTGTCGTAGGTCTTAAATTCTTCAGATTTGTAAAGGTCAGAGATGTTCTTATATAACATGTCGCAATCTTTGTCCATAACCTTATGGTTGCAATGAAAACCAAGGAATTCATAGTTTACCTTTCGTATGAACTTCTTTATTTCTACTGAGTCAGTTGGTTTCACTTCAATTTCGTCAAATTCGGGAATAGTGAGTTTTTGCTGCTGAATTTCAGGCAATTTGGGTAAATGGTCAATAATGTCCTGCATTTCATAAAGATACTGTTCATTTGTTTCATCCTGTGCGGTACAGTCTAAATTACTTGTTAACAATTCCTGCTTTATCTTCTGGATTTTTGTTTCGAAAGTATATGAAGAAGGAATGAAGTTTTTCATCTCTACCAACATAGATGTTGGATTCATGACTAACGAGTTTGGTGCTGTAGTTGTTTGAACTGTTGTTGTGCCGATTGTTGAAATCATATCTTTTATACAAAATAAAAAAAATAAAAAAATAAAGTTAGTTTTATTTTTTATTTCGGGAAAATTCATGAGGTGAAAAAACAGGTGAGAAAAGAGGTGAGATTTCACCTCTTCACCTAAAATATATTTTTGCTGAAAAAGTGTCATTTTTTTTCATGTCAGAAGACTCGAAGGTGCAACACTTCCAAAATACCGACGAACTCAGAAGAGCAGCATGGCAGTATCTTCTTGACAACTTCTTTGAGTTCTCCAGGTACACCTTGGAAAATGCTGAAGAACTCCGACACAGAGAATTTGGAGAAATTGCACTCCAATACTACCTTGACAAACAAAGGGTAAACAAAGGGTAAAATAAGACTAAAAACTTAACGTTTAAAAAGTGACATTTTTATGAGCTCCGAGTCACCGAGAAAACTTGGTCAGATGTTAGCAGCTTACTTCCCTGAGGAGGATGGAAGCGTTACATACGTAAGGTTCAAAAACAACGAACCTGGAATTGCGTACCAAATTCGCAATTACATGACCATGGAAGAGTACGAAAGGTTCCTACAAGAGAAACCAGCTCTAAACAACTCAGAAAAGAAAGAATAAAAAGTTTAACTCGTAATTGTTTATTTTTTTACTTGTATGGGCAAGCTGCAAGAATGAAGTCGACTATCTCGGTCTTTGTTTTGACGAGCTGGACGGCTCTTGCGAGTACGTCTGTTTTGCGGTCTCCAGCTGGTGTCTGACCTTCGTAATTGCGCATGTTCTTGAGAGCTCCAGTTGTAAATGATTGTAGGATGAAGAGTCTCTCAGACTGCTTGAGGTAGTCTTCACGGTCACGAACCGAATCTGTGGTACGAGTCGAATCGGTCGATTTGAGGGAAGAGACTGAAAGCCTGTCGTCTTCCATAGGGGCTGTGGCATAATCTTTGCGTAAGCGGTTCAGACCTTCTTCGAACTCTTGGTCTCTCTTGGACTGAGATTGGAATTGCTGGGGTGGAGCTTGCTGGAACATCCAAGGGTTGGGGAAGTAAGGCATAGGCTGAGGAGGGTAGTTCGGGAAGCCTTGTAGTGGAAATTGGTAGTAACCTTGAGGTGGAAATTGGTAGTAATTTGGTGGAGGGACTTGCTGGAACTGAGGTGCAGGGGCTGGTGCTTTCGGTTCCTCTGGTTTGGGAATGGACTCGGTTGGTGGGACGTCGGACATTCGTCTGTGGCTTAACCGTCGGACCACAACGATAAAAATCTCTGCTACTAGCAGTACTGCTACTGACAGTAGCAGTACTTTTACTGACAGTAGCAGTACTTTTTCTGACAGTAGCAGTACTTTTTCTGACAGTAGCAGTACTTTTTTTGACAGTAGCAGTACTTTATCGTCGAAAACCCTCTCAAATTTTCCTTTTTTCTGCTCCTAGCAGTACTTTTACTGTCAGTAGCAGTACTTTTACTGTCAGTAGCAGTACTTTTACTGTCAGTAGCAGTACTTTTACTGTCAGTAGCAGTACTTTTACTGTCAGTAGCAGTACTTTTTCTGACAATAGCAGTACTTTTACTGACAGTAGCAATGGTCGAGGTCGAACCTACCGACGAGGCAATTTACCTAATTGAAATTAACGAGCTTGTTAAAGACTTCCTCAGGCAGAATGTAAAAGGCAAGCTTGTTAACTGTTGGATAACGGGAAGGGCTGCCTTGAATCTCGAGACTTCGACTGGAATTCCAATTCAAATACCAGACGGGACAGCCTACGACGACATAAAGCAAGCAAAGAAAGAAGCTCTTCTCAAGTTCTTTGCAAAGCGTCCTTGGATACAACTTCCAACCAGAGAGAACCCTTTCCCAAGAATGAGCCAAATTCTCAAGGGTCTCCTTCACTTCTCGGGTCAGCCGTTCTACATAACCTGTGAAGGCGACATTCAGCCAGTTCTTTAAACATCTCATTTTCACTTCACTTTTTTTATGTTTTTACTCACACTCGTACTCAACAGGTTTGTGTACAACTATTTCAACTGTGAACCTTGTATTGACCGGTCTTCCTGTAAATGCAAGTTTGGTCAATACACAGTTTATGGTGGCAAGAAGGACAGTGGGGAATGTTATTCTGACATCTGTTGTTGCGCTCGAGAGAGATTTGAAATTTCAGAGCCACCTCCCCCAAGAACTCCAACACCAACACTCAAGTTACCAGAGTCTCATGTGAAGAAGAAGCCTTCTGGTAAGTTTCTTATAGCCATATACATGGCACGCTTTGAGTAAAAACATTTTTTTTCATTTTTTGAATGAAGCAAGTTAAATTCGTCCCACACCAATCTCAATGGACCGATGAAGAGTTTCAAGCCATGGTTGAAGGCGTTGAGAACGACATAGACGGCGAACTTGAAGGAGCTCAAATCACAATTGCAACCAAAATTGCAGAAGTCAAGGAACAGATAGCTCCACTTAAAGCTACCAAAGCTACTCTTGACCTCATGGATAGTTACCGTTTAGATGTCAAGAGTGGAATAAGACATTTAAAATTAAAACTTCTAAACTACGAAGCTATACTCCAAAAGTTAGCAGAAATGAGAAGACTTTACCAGAGCTACTTACATGTAAGGGACTTACCTTCAAGCAGTCCGACCAAAGATGAATTTTCTGACATTGTCCCAATTTTGTCCGAAAGTCAGCTCAGATGTTTCGAACTGCTCCCAACATATCCAGAATATGAACGTTTGCCTGAACTCTTCCGCAATCTCAAAAAACGTTTTTTGGTTCTCATGTTCGAAACTTTTATCGGAAGAGACAACAAACGTTCAGAAGAAGAACAAGATATTATTTTAAACTTGTTGTATGACTTAACCGTCATAACAAGCTTTTTGAAGTAAAACCGTCATTCTCAAACCACTTCATTTTTTCGATGTCCGAACAAGCACCGAAGCCGAACACAATGGCAGATGTCCTTTCAATGTTGCCAGACAAGCGCCCAGTTCAAATTCAAATTTTGAATTTGAAAGCTCATCTGACAAACACCGTTAAGACTCTCCAAAGTAGTCTTATGGAAGAGATGACCAAGCTCAAAGCCGATGTCCTCATGAACCAAGCTTCCAATGAGAAATGCCTGAATGATTTGACGGAAACCTTGCGCATTTACGCGAGAGAGAACCGAGACCTTGCCAGACTCATCTACCGTTTCTTCGAAGAGATAGACGCCATCTGGAAGGTACTCGGAAAGGACAGAACCTCCAACACCGTAATTCGTGAGTACCAAATTGAAGAAGGAATTTTCGAGGAAGAAGAGAAACAAGAAGAAGAAGAGAAACACGAAGAAGAAGAGGAAGAAGAAGAGAAACACGAAGAAAAGGAAGTTTGGGCAACCCTTGTTGCCGATGACAGTTATGAAATTTCCAACCCTACCCATACAAAATGGGAGCAGGCAAGGTTCTTACCCCAGTCCTCAACAACTTGGGACACTTGAACCTTAACCTTCGGAATCGCGGTTCAATCTCCATGGGCTTGTCGCAATTCAATGGGTTCCAAATCCAGGCAAGAAGACGAAGGTCAGACACATTGACGGTGACAAGCTCAACAACCGTAAGGAGAACCTCGAGTGGTTCTAAGAGTAAAAAAATTTTATTTTAGGGGGAAACCCCGAGTAAATTTAGGTGTTTATTTAGTTAAGTAGCTTAAATTAATGAGAATTTGGACAAGTAGTTCCTGACCCCTGAATTGGACTCTTTCGTCATCCCAGTTGCCTAGGAGGTCGTCCCAGAGGAGTTGGTAGAATTGCCAATCCAAGGACGATTTGTCCTCCCAGGCATTGAGGATGTACTGCTCGTAGAGTTTCATGACCTCTGCCTTGCACCAGACACCCTCTCCCTTGGAACGTAAGGCTTCTTCGAAGTGCTCGAATGCGATTGGCTGCGTGACCATCTGAAATGACACTTTTTGTCCGTTTGGTCAATGTTTGTGTCTCGTGCCATAGTCGACGAAAATACAAACAAACAGGTTATATATGAGTTTGAGACCAAGAATGGTGTAACTCGACCTGTCCGATTCAAATTCGAATAAAAATTTTTTATTTCATGCAATGTTTAACTATTTCACCATCTTCTTTAACACCCCAGTACTTCCTTTTCGATATTACATGAACTTCGGTGAAAATTTTGTCCAATTTGAATTGACCCATCTTTTCACCGACCATGCCCATTTCAATGAGTTTGTTATAGCCTTCTTCGTTCGTCATGAGCGCATCGATGTTCTCATAGTATACCTTCACTTTGGATTTAACTTCCGAGAAGAATTTGTTGTAGTTGTCAAGGACTGCCTTTGCGAACTGAGGGTAAGACCAATGTTCGACAATAGGTTTTAATGTGGTTACTAAGCCACTTTGACCTTGAGTGAATTCGTACTTCAAAACAAAAGGAGAAAACCTTTCAACAAAGTTGTCGACCTTCTCATAATGTTTACTCTTCATCTCTTGAGGTTTCTTAATGGAATATCCCCATGTCGAATTCATAAGCAATTTGAGTGTCATTGCAAGTTTGGGGTTTGAAGCTTTCCTAATATCATACAGTTGTTGTATGACTTTTCCAACTGTATAGTTCCTTCCCGGGAACTCACCATCTTCGTTTGGAATTCCAGTTGGAATATATTGGACAAACCTCATGTACGCAGCGTTAAGGTCGACATAGTATATCTTTTCATATGAGTCAAACTTGTCGCAACCAATCGGTCCAGTTTGTGGAAATTCAAGCGAGTCTCTTATCTTCTGAGAAACTTCTCCTGTTATCTCATAAACATCGTCGAAGCAACCTGTTTCATATAAAACCTTCTGACCTAACTCAGATGCTCTCCAATACAATTTGACGTCAATTGGATGTCTCAATGGGAGTTTGTTTATAGCATCTTGAAGTTCTTGCAACCTCATTGGAAGTTCTTCTGGTTCAGGTTGGTATCCGAACAATCCAACTCCTTTTGGAACTGTGTACTTCTTTTGTACTAGAACTTTGTCTGGAACAACTTTTGGTCTTGCTAACAGTGAAAAGTTTGTTTCGTCTTTTGGTACTTTTGTCAGCTTGTCATCTGGAATTGGTTCCAACAAACCTTTCTCGAAAAGAATGTTAACAGCTCTGACAATGTTGCACTTGCCTTTTCCGAACAATGGGTTTGTAAGACTTTCGTTCAACATGAAGTGGTTGTGGACAATTACAATCTTCAACCATGGTAAGTCTTTGTCAACAACATAGTCGTCATGTGAAGAACCTTTCTCAGTCGGAATGTTGACTCGGATATTCACATTTGCCAACGGTGCAATTTTAGCCAATTGACCTCTGAGCATGTACCTTGTCTTCACACATGACTCAAGATACTTCATTTTCTCTTCTGAAACAAGACCAGAGTTCCTGAGACATGTAAGAATACAAGGTTCATTGACAATTGTTTCAATTGAATTGTAAATTCCATACCTGGTTAAGTTAATGTCAGACTTGTTTATGAACGGGAAATACCCAGCATGTTGTCTGACTGCTTGAGGGTTGGGTTGGTACCATTCGAACTTCACGCTTGCAATCCCTTCAATCGCATTCAAAATGTCTGAGTCGGAGTCAACCATTTGTTCTCTCTTTGTAGTCTTGAAAGCGTCAAGAAGTTGTGCGGCTGTTTGTTCATTGCCATGCGCATAGTAAATGTGACCATCTAAATCTGTTACGGTTAGTCTGAGATTGTATCCTTTCTTATTTCCGTCTTGTATGGCAGCAAGTACTCCCATGAAGCCTTCTTTGTTCTTTCCTTCGTCAAAGTTTACTGTAAAGGTTCGACCAGATGTAATTTGACTTCTAACTTCACGATACTTTTCATATGCATATCTTGTTCTTTCCATGGGAGCATGTGCGTCTTCACCTTTTCCTTTTTTCCTTCTCAAAGGATGCAATTGTTCGTCATGTTTCCAGTAGAATCTGGCAAAGCCGTCGTGTCCTTCAACTTGAGGTTCACTAACATCGAAAGGCATGTCCATAAGACGTTCTTCTTCTAACCTCTCTAGTCTGTTTGGATAATTTGCACGTGCTGTTTCTAAGTCCATTTCGTAGCGAAGACCAGACAATTTGTCATAGACTTTTATGGGTCTTCCCTTCCTATATTTAAAATTCTTCGAAACTCTCCAACCATATCTTTGCAACTCTGCTTTTATTCTAGCAGATTTTCTATCCATTCTATATGGGGGCATTTTTATAAAAATAAAAAAATATTTTTTTTCTTTACTTTACATAACCACCTGCTGCCATAAGTCTTTGACGCCAACCCATACCAGCTAATGAAGGTTGACTTGGTTTAGTTTGGAAACTAAACTTTGGTTTTGGTTTATCTTCAGTTTTTGGTTTCTCTTCTTCTATCTGTTTTTCGTCACTTTTTGGTTCCTCTGACTTTACCTCACTTGCAGGTATGGTTGTGTCGTTAGTATCTTCGTAAATATCATATGCCATTTGTTTTTGTTTTCCTTTCAACTTTTTGTGTTTGTTGTAAAGTTTAGAATATTTCGACTCTAAGTCAATGAGATGTTCTATAATGAACTGTTGGTCAGTGAAGTAAACTTTTCCATCTGTTGTCTCGAAAGCTCCTTCAGACTTCAATATTTTATTTGTGAGAGTCTGTTTCTTTTTTGAGATACTAGCCGTTCCATTTCTATGAAAAGTGACTTTATAGTTAGGGTTTGTATTTCCAGACCTGGCACTTTCTATTATTGAATTTTTCTCTTCATCTGTAAGTTCTTTGACAGGTTTTGACAATGGTTCTGAACTTTTTGTTTGTGGTGTCAAATCTACCGTTTCAACTTCTTCGGTCATTTCATCTCAGTAAAAAATTTTAGTTTGGTTTGTTTTCAACTGGTTGTTTAGGTTTTTTAAGTCGGTCTAAAACTTCCTGAGGTATAGGAAGAACTTGACAAACACGTAGTTTAACTGCTGGAAGCCGACAAATCCATCTTGAACCCATTTGTCTCAATGCTGTATTGTTCATTTCATCTCAGTAAAAAACTTTACATTCCCCACGTTTGAGGCGGTTGAGGTTGGTTATTGTTTACCCATTGTTGTGCATGGTTATATCCTCTGTTAAAGAATCTTTCACCTTGGTCCATATAGTGTCCTGCTTGGTTATAGTAGTCATTTGCTTTGTTATAATAGTTTCCTGCTTGTCTTCCTACATTGTCCATCCATCCTTGAACTTTTCCTCTTGTTTCAGGATTTGGAATAAGATTTGCTGCATCTCGTGCTACATCCCAACCTTTCTGTACAGTTTGTATAATAGGCTGTGCTTTCTCTTTCAGTATACCTAATGTACTCAAAATCTTCCTTCCAATTCCAAATGCACCTCTGGCTAGTGTTCCCACTGCGGGCAAAAATCTGGATGCAACTCCTGCTAATGCGCCAAATAAACCCATTTCTTATGGGTTAAAAAATGACGAATCCAAACAAGGACCCCTATGTTTCTAAGGCAACAAAGAAAGCACTCATGATAAAAATCTTTAGTTCAACACCAAATGCTTGGTTTATGGATATCTTGGAAAACATTCCGAGGTATAGAGAAGATGGACCACCATACTGGCTAATATTTGTCGGTCAAAACACAAGATACTGTGAAGCCATACCATTACAGTCCAAAAATATTTTAGATGTGAAAACTGCTTTGACAATATTCGTTGACAAATACCATCCAACAAAACTGACATCTGACTGTGAAAGTTCTTTCAAATCAGATGATATTAAAAACTATCTGCGTTCAAAAAATGTAAACCAATATTTCATTGTCGACCAAAACCATTCTGCTCTTGGTGTCATTGACAGTTGTATAAAAATCTTAAGAGACTTAAACCAACCACAAGGTGGTGAGGTAGATGAAATGTCATATGACGACAAGTATAGACACTTCTCCATGGCAAAGATGAGACAAGTTTTAAATATTTACAATAGCCGTAAACAAAAAGGTTTGGGAAACCACTCCCCGAAGAAATGAAAAACAACCCCGACTTAGAGAAAGACTTTATATTTAACAATTTAGTCAAAGAGACAAACAAGAAAGAATGCCAGGCTTCAAACTTAAGAAAGGTGACAAAGTAAAAATAGAAATACCTAAACGCGACCCATATGAAAATACTATTGACTATGACAACAATGGGAACCCGACAGGTACTCACATTCGTGTTCGTAAAAATAGAAGAAAGTATACAAGAGAATATTATGAAGTTTTAGGCAAACATGGCAAAATGTACACACTGCAAGCAGAAGATAAAACTACTATTGTCAGACCTCGTTTCAAACTTGTCAAAGTTCAAGGTGGTATACTTTCAAAGACAGTTCCTAACAAATATAAGACAACTCCTGACGAATATGCTAAAGAAGTTGAAAATGACGACTAAGCAATTCTATACCATGCGTAAACTGTCATGTAAGGTGGCATGTATTCTTTACTTTGTCCCGTTGTTTGCGTATATCCTGAAACGAAATGTGTATGGTTTCCTTCTCCCTGAGTGTCACTCCAGTAACAATTTATAGCAAACTTAACGTCGTCTTTAACATCATATCCTTTACCTTTTGTCATTCCTGACCAATCCCAATATCTATGCTT